GGGGGAGGAAGGGAGGAGTTAAGGAGCTAGGAATCAACCTTTGTTGACCCACTTAGGCCACTAAAGTTTAACCGCAAAAAATTCGTACTGGCATAGAATCACAACGAAAAATCGTAATCATGATAAATTCAAACAAGAGAAGATATGCAGGTTGTTTGCAAAATCAATGTTCAAGTTGAACACAATATTCAATCGAGGGAAAAAAATGTCACATAATCGAAGTCCAACTAACCATAAACGTCTCTTCGTCAATCATCTTAAACGAGGTAACACGTGTCATTAATTTCAATGGTACATCACATATGAGCAACTCGTCCATTGGAGTTGACTCTAGCATCATAAAATATAATCAAGATTTTCAACTGCTTGCGAATTACATAATTAAGAACATACCCAGTGCCACCAATTCACGCACGAGCTTGATTCTGGCCGATACTCTGCTCCGGATAGCTTTTATCACACTATGCAGCACATCGGCCAATTGCACACCACTCGTTTCCGCTTCTGTAGGTGAGTAGCCACTAGACGACAAAGATCCAGATCCAGTAATGGCCTGCACGAATCTGTATGGGCGGCCGTACTTACTGGCGAATGAGTCTATGCCAATCCTCAAAAAAAAATGCATTGTACGACTGAAAAAAAGTAAAATTCTACGAAATAAACAAACTTTAACTGGCGCAATTTTGCGGCACCAATTGGATTTGGGCACTCGGAGCCATCGTCCCCGGGGAATAAACAATCCAGCAGAGTTTCATGTGCCGAAACACCGCTTAACATCAAAATATCTGTTCAACAGCAAAGATAACCTAAGATGGAAATCTAAAGAAAAATTCCAGAATACTGGAAGTCGTACGAACTTCGAGAAAGCATAGAAGAAAAACTGGATAGAAGGGGCGTGAGGCGAAGCCAAACTACTTTCCTTCAAAACACAATTTTTGTGTATGAGCTTCCAGTACTTTTATTGAACTCCGGCATAAGATTATACAATTTAAGGTAACATTGACAACCAGGTGGGATTTGAATCAAAACGGTCATATTTTATTTTGAAAAATATGTTAGAGACAGCTGAAAGGTTTGCAAGTGTAAAATAAAATGTA